TTCATTGCACTGTATGTATCATAACACAAAGAATTAAACTCTATGTCACTATATCGTTATTTAATGTGACGATTTCATAGAACTTAATACAGTCGTCGTCCTATACATCAATACAATGAAGACGACAGCTCATGGAAACACAAAAACACGGGGAAAAAGAAGCAATCAATTAACATTTTCTTCTTGTTTACATGTAGACTTCTTATTTTAAAAAAAAACTTGTTGAAATTAAGAATTGAAAATAAATATGACTTTTTTTGTATTGATATAAACCCCGATCATATATAAAGAGATAAATGCAAATAAGGTTTTCCTTTCCCCCTTTTGAAACATATAGCTTAATTTTTAAGATCTAGATATTTATTTACGTATCGAGGTTACTACAGTTTACAAGATTGTTAATATGGATTTAACACAAAACTTTTTTTTGCGATGTTATCGTGTACATACTACATACAATTGTAAATTGATAAGGTTGAAATCTAGACTTTTACAGATACATTTTTTTAAAAGTTTTTTCATATTTGGATTTCTAGTAACTTTATATTAAAGTATTGACAAAGTAACAGCTCAAGAGAAAAAACTTTATTATATATTAAAGGATACCATAATTTTGTGAAATATGACTGGGGGATACTACAAACACAGTGTGTGTTATCTCTTATTGAAAAATGCTATAATTTATTGAAAAATGCTATAATTAAAAGAAAGAGAAAATTAAAAGGGGCCCTCCATCTATAGCTAGAGTCACATGAGATATACTTTCTTTGTTGAAAATTAATTATTTTAAATTATGTTTTTGCTATAAAGTAGGCTTTTGGATTTATGCTACAGAGATACTGAAAGAAATTGTCAGAATTTAGACCATTTTCAGATGGAAACAAACATAATTCCCTCACTGTTACTAGGGGGTTAAAGTCGGGCAGAGCGGATTACTTAAACTTACGTCTGCTGTCACTTGAGAAGAATTATTAAATAGAAGTGAACAACATCAAATAAAATAAAGAAGAGGGAAAGAAAGACAAAAATTCATCAAAGAAAAAAGTCTGAAAGAGATAATTGATCCAAGTCAAGGAAAGAGAAAAGTCGAGGATTGAGAAATCATCTCATGGATTCTAAGACATGTCCCTGATAAATCATGAAGAAGATCCTGGTTTGGAGATCACACTGATTATTCAGATATCTATTCAGCTCCAGCTGTAACACCAAAAGATATAAAGAGCTCATGCTGGGACTCAGCTCAACCTATCCTATTCACACCTTAAATAATCCAAGATTTTACAGGATTCAAATCTGAAATGATCAAAAATCCAGGGATATATACAATACATTAAAATATCATCTTAGTTTTCGTTCTGGGATAGAGACTGCACTATGAACTTGTAAAGGTTATAGAACTTGTAACATTTAGTAAAACTTGAATCTTTGCTCAAACCTACATATGTATATGCTGCTCTCTGTAAACCTGGACCAAAATTACAGAATGTCCAAAAAAATCGCTATTAACAGTTGATTTAAGTATAAATCAAGCCTGAACCTCTAATCATTGCCAATGTTGCATAATGATGAACTTATAAAAACCTTTATGGATCGCTCATTGTTTATTTTTTGCATTGAATTGTTTTTCTCTAATGCTTATCTGGGATATCCTGTATAAGGATGATCCAGGGAATTGGTCCCGCTAGTATCTGCGGGGTACCACAGGGTTCAGTTCTCGGGAGGAAGTTGTTCACGCAACATCTTCAAGTTCCGTGCAGCAACAGCTCTCATATAGACTGTACTCAGTTATACCACAGCAATATGAGTAGAATGGTGCTATAGACTCGTTAAACTAGTATCCGTGTGATAAATCAGGTGTAAAGCCCAGATAATCTGTGAATATTAAGGCCCGAAGATTTAAGTGTTGAATTGTGATATATAAACAATTTATATTCTACCCATTTAACTTCATGCTTTAAAGTCTCCTACTTAATGAGTAACCTTGTATAACGTACATTAAAGTCTCCTACTTTATGAGTAACCTTGTATAACGTACAATAAAGTCTCCTACTTTATAAATAACCTTGTATAACGTGCATTAAAGCCTCCTACTTTATGGGTAACCTTATATGATATGCATTAAAGTCTCCCAGTTTATGAGTAACCTTGTATAACGTACAATAAAATCTCCTACTTTATGAGTAACCTTGTATAACGTACAATAAAGTCTCCTACTTTATGAGTAACCTTGTATAACGTACAATAAAGTCTCCTACTTTATGAGCAACCTTCTATAACGTGCATTAAAGTCTCCTACTTTATGAGTAACCTTGTATAACATACGTTAAAGTCTCCTACTTTATGAGTAACCTTCTATAACGTACATTAAAGTCTTCTAGTTTATGAGTTACCTTGTATAACGTACATTAAAGTCTCCTACTTTATGAGTAACCTTGTATAACATACATTAAAGTCTCCTACTTTCTGAGTAACCTTCTATAACGTGCATTATAAAGTCTCCTAATTTTTGAGTAACCTTCTATAACGTGCATTTAAGTCTCCTACTTTATGAGTAATCTTCTATAACGTACATTAAAGTCTCCTACTTTATGATTAACCTTGTATAACGTACATTAAAGTCTCCTACTTTATGAGTAACCTTGTATAACATACATTAAAGTCTCCTACTTTCTGAGTAACCTTCTATAACGTGCATTTAAGTCTCCTACTTTAACGTATATTAAATGAAGATATGTGTGAAAGAGAGGCGTTTGTATGTTTTTTTAATCTAGCCTTTCTGGCAATATTCCTGATAATCCTGATTTTTTGCAAACTAAACAGCATACATTGCAAATTTCCTTGGAAGATGCTAAATTTATTCTGCAATGCATTTTAAATTTAGGACTGGAGGTGGAAAAAGGGAATTTAAAACATGGCAAATGTGCCATATAGAGAGGTCAAGAGGGGAATAGGGGAATTAAAAAAGAATGCGCGAGTTTAGTTGTTATGTATTTCGACGGGGGGGG